GACTTGAAGATGTCCATGCGGCCTCCGCCCCGGCCCCGCCGCGTCCTAACTGCGGTTGTAGTTGTTGATTAATGGGCCGTTCCCTTCTCCTTGGGCTTGAAGCATTGCGTTGTTACCGAGTGAGCGTTCTTGAGAACTTGAAGAAGAAGCGCCGTACTCGTCACGGTATCCAAGCGAACTCTCGACTCTCGGGGTGCAATCATACCGACTTGCGCGCGGAGGAGGTCCGGATCTGTTTGTCGTGTTAATTCGATATGGGTCCTTGTTCTGATAGTAAACCTCACCACCACCACCTCTCCTGTCATCATCATCATGATTATCATCATCTTCATTGGCAGCTTCACCAGAATCAAGACTTCGTGTGCTAACGTGCACCCTCGGCTCTTCGTGTAACTGCCGCTCAAATCCATGAAAAGCCTCCCTCAATCGAGCCACAGTGATCTCTGACGGCGAACGGCGATAATCACTGCCGCCCATCGGATCACCCATCGCCCTAGCGCTCCAAAGTGCTCTGCTAATTTTTGTCGCTTGAGAGTGGATAACCCCGACCGAGCCAGCGCTCAGGACAAAACACGCGCAGACGACCAGCAAAAGGACCCAGAGGAGGTAGAGCTTCGCACACGCCACACGACCGGTTCGTTCGCCAGAGAAGTCGATGGCACCTAGCGGGCCTGTTCGAATGGTGAATGCGTTGTTCGGACTGACTTGGGGACACATCGTACCGCCGTCGTGCATAGGAAGACCGAGGAGGACCGAGAAAACGCCAAAGGGGATGAGGAAGAGTACGTCGGTGACGATGGTGACTTTGTAGGGAAAGTGGCGACGGGAGCAGCCGGACCAGGAGGAGAGGCACCAGAGGAGGGAGGCGGATGTCTGTAGGTCAGGTAGGTTTAGTTAGTATACCTTATCTCAACCGGTACAGAAGGAAGAAGAATGGGGGTTTAAACAAACATACCACAATCATGATAGCCACGACGCTCGTCGCTACAGGTTCACCTGCTTTGGTCATGTTGTTGAGCAAGCTACCGACTATGCCGGCCATGACGGGCAGTGACATGATAAGGAAAAGACGGGCAAAAAGAAAGACATAGCTGTAGAAGCATTGGGGAATGAGGGACTCAAAGTTCCGAATATAATTTGGCGTCGTGCCAGGAGAAGAGGAGCCCATCCTGATATCATGGGCTTGAACAAGCTGTCAAGGAAAATTGTTGCAAGCGAGCGTGGAGAGAGTGTGTGGTCTAAGAGAACAACCCTCCTTAACCCGTAGTTTCTCCGTTCCAGACGGGGTGTGATGATATGTGTAGTAGGTTAGTGTCCAAGAAAGAAATGTGTCTAGTGAATGTGGCGCGCAACCAGGCGGCTTGGTTACTTAGGGTATAATATCGGAAAACTTGGTAAAAAAAAACTAGGAAAGAAAACAAGGAGTAAGGCGTCAGCATGGTAAAGAGCTTGTTAAGTAGATGTCGTGTGCACGGCTCTAAGGTCCAAGCCATTGGTGTGTGGATGCTTCGTGTTGCTTACGGCAACGGATGCGTTCGACGCATTGGCCATGATTATGTGCTTTGGTACTGACGGTTATTGATCATCTTGGTGGCAATGACTGATCGACTGTTGATGTTGTGATCAGTGTGTCGAAGATGCTCGAGGCTGGCTGTGTGCTGTCAGACCGAGGCGAGGCCGAGTGCGGAAGCTTGAGTCACTGTACACATGCTTTGTGATCCATAAATCCGTGGTTGAAGGAACCATTACAAGCTCTTGTTGATGAACTGCATGTTGGGACGATGCTCCAACCCCATAGTGGTAGTTCGTACGACCTGAGGATGCTTAAATGCCAAAAGATCAAAACGTCGAAGAAAGAGAGAACATTTGAATGTGTCGGGAAATGGAAACTGTACAAACCCTAGCTAAATGCAGTAACATGTCGACTCCAGATCGACTTACCCATTCATGGGCAACTGGGAAGCCGGAACAGGTCGTCTGAAACCATCGAAGGGCAGCAAGTGTGTACGGACACTTACAGACCCGTTCGCTCTATAACCGACACGTTCAGAAGGAAAAAGGGGGTGACAAACACAGAGAACCTGAAGGTAGTATAATTAGATGTGAAATTTTGCTGCAGACGAAAGCGCTGCAAGACGCCCGCCCCTACCTCCAATAACATTACTTGAGATATAAATCGTTGACTGCTCGTTTCCTCTTTGTTTACCTGCGCACCATCGGTCTACTCCAAGAATCCCGCGTCCATCACTCAACAACGACAGTGCTAGATACCACTTGAATACTCTCCACACCCGCCATGTAATTAACCGAGCAGATCGTCCAACCCGTGGTTGTTGCTATTAGCGGGCCTGCTACCGCTGGTCGGGGTGGAGGGCGCGGGTGTACCCCAAATACCAGCAGCGCTCTTTTCCTTGGCCAGCTGTCCGATCGCGGGGCCCTTGGTGGTGGGCGTGCTCTTCTTGATTCCAACACTAGCCTGCGACCAGAGCGCACCGAAGGCGTCACCGCCAGCGGCCGGCTTGGAGGCGCCTGAGCCGGTGGCCTTGGCACCAGAAAGCGAGGAACCAGTGGACTGTGTCTGCAGCTGTACCGGGGAGAAGTAGTTGGGTTGACCGGCTTGGAAGCCCATTGGCCTGGGAGCCTGGGAGACAGGCGAAAGGGGCGTGGAGAAAGCCGAGAAGTTGGCAGCGGGAGTCGTGGTAGAACTGGGAGGAGGAGAGATGGAGGAGAGAGCAACCATCCCGCTGAGGTTGGCCTGTTGAGGCGCCGAAACTGGTTGGGGGGCGGCAAACTGTGTACCGGTAGAAAGCGAGGCAATTGGAGGGATCGCAGAAGCAGGCTGGGTGGTGGGGGCTGCGGATACGAAGTCATCGAATTCGTCGTCATCATCATTAGCGCCGCCGGCTAGAGCCGCAAGCCCGGAGCCGTTAGAAGGTGCGGCAGCGAGGGGCGCCGCCGGGATGGATGGTGCTGCGGGCTCGTCGAAGGAGAACAAGTCGATCTCGGGCTCCTTTTTCTTGGGCGGCTCGACGGGTGCTGTCGTCTTCTTGACTCCGGCTCTCTCTGTCGTCGATCGTGTTGTCCTTGAGGCGGTACGTGACGACGCCTCGCCATCAAGCTCGCCTGCATCGTATTCCTCGAACTGCTCTGCCCGTGCCTGTGTGTCGCGGAAGTCGTTGTTGGAAGACTGGCCACCAAAAACACCTCCATCACCATACACTCCTCCAGAATAGCCACCGTAGGTAGAGCTGCTGCCACCGCCACCGCCGCTGCCTAGTGTTCCCGAAGCCACCATAACGGCCGCTGCTCCCACTAGAGAAGCTCATTCCACCCGAAATTCCCGTAAACTTGCCCTTGTTAGCGCGGGCCTTCTTACGCTCTGCTCGGATACGCTCGACATCCCCAAGGAGCTCGGCAAGTTCCTTGGCGCGGTTTCGAACGTTGACACCCTGATCTTTGCCGTTTTGGTCGATGAAATGGAACTGACGCAGCATCTTGAGGAGGGTAAGATGTGAGCGAGCATCGTCGACTACCCGTTCGGAACCGTGCTTGATCAGATACTCTAGTAGTTGAAGGGCCTTGTAGATCTGACGCCATTCTTCGGCGGACTTTTCGGTAAAGCGGCGGTAAATCATGGGCATGATCTCGTTGAGTGTTGCGCTAAGAGCAAGGAGAAAGATAACAAGTTAGCCGGGTTCGTTTGGTTCACACGACATGGGATGATGGGGATCGTGTCTCGAGGACGTACTAGTTGAAGGTACCGTCGGCAATCTCCTGCATCAACGTCGACGATGCACCCCAGGGTTCATTGTTGGTGGCCTCCCGCACCTGTGTTCGCTGTCAGCTCCCGTCCCATTGTCGTTTGTCTGGCGTTGGTAAATGGCGAAGGGCGAGGGGCGCCCGTGTGGTGCGTGGTTACGGGCATACCTTGGCCTCCATCTCGGTATAGTTCATGACAGCTGTTGTGGTCCATTGTCAGCGTTCTGCATGAACCTATATCACGACCATGGACCGGGTGATCGATTGTGATCACCTACCATTTTGAACCTTTCGTACGCCGGCCTTGATGTCGTAGAGTGTCAGGTTGGACACGGTATCCTTGAGGTTGTTGAAATCCATCGCGAAAGCGTGTCTGTCACCGGAACTGCTGGGAATTGCTCTAGTGTGCCAATCGTCGATATCTAAGCCTTGCGGTGGTGATTGCGGGAATGTAGCTCGCAAGGAGGTGTTGTGGCGACTTGGTGGTTTTGTTCAGGCTGATCGCTTTCAGGGCGACGTTTCACGGTCTTGTCGGGATCAGATGGACAATTGGACTCTCCGCCCTGGGCGTCTGGAGCGTCAGGGTGCCGGTGACCACGCTGACAGACCTCCACTGCACTGACGCCGCCCCGTCGTCCGTCGACCCCTGTGCTTGACCCAACACCCCGACGCCAAGAAACCAGTGGAACCCAAGAAATCTGCCAAGACTTTGAATTCATGGCCCGAGCGTCTCAGCTTTCTCAGGCCTGAAATCTCAGGCGAGAAATATCTGGCCTGAAATATCTGGCGAGAAATCTCTGGCGAGAATTCCACTTCTTTGCCGGGCCGGCCGACAACGCGGGGCGGCGGGGGACGCTCGGCCTCCGGAACTTCCATGCGTTTTGGATGGAGTAAAAATTGTCAAACACCCGACCCGTCTCTGGTCTTGTTGTGCATCCATCGCCGTGTTGCAGATTTCCCACCGTTCGTTTGTTTTGAACGTTGCCTTGTACATTAGCTTCACCACTGTCAACAGTTCTCTTGGATTTCCATCCTGAATAATCGGTACGTTATCATTTTCTCTTTTGTCACTACCACGGAGCCTCTGCCTGTTTCCTTTCTTTGAGCCTTTTCTGCTATCTACAAGAGCTCTTCCCTGCCGGCTGGGAGCTTGCCCAAAGCTCCAAGTTCTAGAGCTCTGGGAGCTTCCATTCCCTGGATTTCTTGGCATCAATCCAACCCAAATGCCCCTTTTCATTCACGGTCGAGTTGAAAGGGGAGGAGGTTTGTCGGTTTGACGATGGCATCGCCCTTTGGTCCTTTTACCCCAGACATGGCCATCAAGGTCGTCATGCCGTCCATCCTTCTTGTTCGGCTTGGGGTGTCGTCTAGTTGGCCCCGCAATGTCGTCAATGGCTGCATGGAGGGGGCGCTGACAGAGGGGGACTCCAAATGAAAGAGGCACTCGCAACGTTATGAAGATACCGGCCATGGGTCGTCTACGATCCTTTGGACCGGGTGTCTTGGAATAGCCGTTGCCAGCACTTTAACTGCCAACTATTCAGTCATTCCCACACACACGGGCGGTGGCATTTTTGGTTGTCATTGTCACCGTCAACGCCAACCTGCTTGGAGACTCGGGGGTTAGAGGCGCCAACACCAGATGGCAGCTGTTTACTTGCTGGTCTCGTGTTCCTGAGCCGACGAGCCAATCCCAAGCCCACATGCGCCAAACATGACACTTGCAGAGGCGGCTCATGCCACTCCACGTTGTCAAGCTGAGATGATTGCCCGCCTGCTCCTGCCGTCCTCTGTGGAGGAATGAGCAGCAGTCGCCGCACTGGCAAACGAGAGGGGACCGAAACAGGCCTGGCAAACAGCCCGACTGCCCGAGTCGTACTGTAGCATGCAGTCACGTGGCGGGCAGCTACGTACCTTCTCCGCCCCCCACTTCCAGGATTGGCTGACCCCTCCTTTTCCATTTTAGTTGAAAATGTTTGGACCCCGCCATTTCTCTGTCCTTAAGACAACAGGTTCTCTCGTCTCCTCGACTTTCTCGTCATCTCTCAAGCCCACTGCAACTTTCTCCTGCGCCAGAGCTTTTTCGCAAACATCCAACATCATGTCCAGAGTGTAAGTCCCGCCGCCCCTCAAGCTCCGCGCAACTTGGAAGCTGTGCCTACCTACCTCTAGCTTCAGGAACACCGACTGACCTGCATGCTTTAGTTTCTTCGATATCGAGTGGGAGGGCCCCGTCCTCGGCGCCAACAACAAGCCCACCTCTGAGACCAAGGGTATGTCTACTCCATACCGCCTGTTTTGTCTTCAGCAATCAAGCCCGGGCAGCTTGCGATGGTCGCTACGACATTGACCTGGACGTCACGTCTGCTATCGTTCTCAATGAGCGGCACGTCGCCCGGTGTTGCCGCACCCTCCAAGCTCCCGAACTACCCCTCCATGCTGGTGTGCCCCTGAATCAGGATGCCCGCACTTAGCCTCACCGCCCCCCTGCCCCGCCCTTCAAGTGTCATGTCAAGCCAATCCCATGTCTAACTCCCATTGCAGTCCAGTCTGGCCGCATTAACTTCACCCTCTACGACGACGTTGTCCCCAAGACCGCCCGCAACTTCAAGGAGCTCTGCACTGGCCAGAACGGCTTCGGCTACAAGGGCTCTTCTTTCCACCGCATCATCCCCGAGTTCATGCTCCAGGGTGGTGACTTCACCCGTGGTAACGTAAGTTCAATCCCGCTTCAGCAAGCTATCTTCTGGATCGGTGCCTAACCTTTCAAAACAGGGCACTGGTGGCAAGTCCATCTACGGTGAGAAGTTCGCCGATGAGAACTTCACCAAGAAGCACACCCGCCCCGGTCTTCTCTCCATGGCCAACGCCGGCCCCAACACCAACGGCTCCCAGTTCTTCGTCACCACCGTTCCCACCAGCTGGCTCGATGGTCGCCACGTCGTCTTCGGCGAGGTCGCTGATGATCAGTCCATGAATGTCGTCAAGGCTCTTGAGGCTACTGGCTCCAGCTCCGGCGCTATTCGTTACTCCAAGAAGCCCACCATCGTCGACTGCGGCGCTCTCTAAATTTCCTTTGTGGAGATCTGAGTGTTTTGGGGTTGGAGTCGCGGTGCCATGATAGTCCGTAATGCGCTGCTACATACAATTTAGATAGCTCATCAACAGGACATATTGCGCCACCAATCTTTCTTCACTGCATTGACATCGCGGTTGACTTTGATCGTTGACACCTGCACGCAAACTGTTGTCTTTCTTCAGGATGCCCTTAGACCGTGTGATTGTTGCCTCGTCAATACTTGGAATGCTAAACAGGTTGCCCCCAACGCCTAAATGAAACCGAATTACCCTTTCCTTTTTCTACGCCGTTGATGCAGTTCTAATAGAGACCATGAATGTCTTGACAGAAAGAGACAGAGAGGCATTGTAGTCGATCAAATCGAAATGACTTGTTCCTTGACCTCGTCACCATCCAGCCACTGTCTGAAATAGACGCAGTTACTGGGGCTCACTGGTCCGCCTTCCTCGCACATATCATAGACGGGACACCGCCCACAGGGAGCCTCCATAAGGCCACTGGCACTCGGCTCGACTCCCATAAACGAGGTGATGATGCCTCCTTTGCTTGGGTCGTGATCCAGGCGTCGTTGGTTGCACGTCCTGGTATCCTGTTTGGGGATGCGCGTTACACGGTACCCCTTGCGGCCATTGACCTTGACCGGTTCTACCAATCCGTCGTAGTATAGCACGTCCACAAGCTGCTGAATATCCGCCTCGCTCAATGTCGTGTTGTTCGTGATGCCGGCGTGGTGGATGAACTTGGCGATGTCCGACACGGTCGGGTACGACTTGTAGCCGGCCGGGAGAGGCAGCAATTGCGGCTTGGCGGGCTTCATCTTCTTCGCAGTGGTAGTAGTAGGTGCCGATGCCGCCGCCGTATCGTCATTGCTAATTTCGCCCGCGCTGCGCTTCGTACCCTTCGCATCCTCCGAGTGAAGAATGGTCCCCTGAACCACGCCCTTCTTGGGGACCTTTTCACGTTGCGCTCCTCCTCCTCCTCCTCCTTGTGTTCCTACAGCTCCGCCGAGCGAAGTATATGTAGATTTCTGCTTGATAAAGTCGAACACGATCTCCTGCAACTCGTTGATGAACGCCGTATCTAGCTCGCCCTCGGTGAACCAGGGACCGCCCGTAGCACGATCGGAAGGCCGAAGGTTTGCCTTGATGTACATCTTCTTGTTGGGATGCTCGACGTTCTTCATGCTGGCGATGTAGCCCTTTTGCTCGAGGTACTTAATGCATTGCTTCATAAGCGAGTCTGCCATGTTGAGCTTGTTCTTGATGGTCCGGTTCCAGATGCCGTCGGCCCCGGCTTCGTCGACCATGGCGTACACCATCATCAGGTCCGAGTTCGGGAGGGAGGTGTACCTTTTTGGAAGAAAAGAAGGTTAGTTGGTGTTCGGCTGTTTTCAAAAAGGGGAGGGTAGGGTAGGGGAGGAAAATGGTAACGAACTTCTTTGCATCCTCCCGGCTTCGCCATCTCCATGATAGTCCCGACGCAGTCGTGTTTCCGACAAAGAGCTTCTCGTCGCAGAGAATCTGGATCACCTGGATGAGCAGAACGAGGTTGTCTTGAGGAATGACGTGCATGTCCAGCAGGTCACGCTGGCTGAAGAGACGCTGGTCGGAACCGTGGTCCCTCGCCGCCTCGTAGAGCGCATCCTTGAGGATCTGGAGTTTGTCACGGTCGGCCATCGTGGGCTGGTGGTGATTCGGAATTTTGTTGTGGTGTGGTTTTGGTGACCGAGACGGAAGGGTTAAGGGACTCGAGTCGGGGCAACAGAAATCCCTTGTAGTGGCCGTGTGTATATAGGGATCGGTGTCCGGTTAAAATTCGTCGGCGGGTTGGATTCAGATTGCAGATGTGGTGGGAGGTCAACTGCAGGTCGGTTGGTCAGACCGAGCTACACTGTCGGCCACGAAATTTCCCAGAACAATTGCCCCGCCGGAGTGACTTGTCAGCCTTGCATGAAGGAATGAATGCGACGTGTTTTCATTGGCCAGGAGAAGCAATACCAAGAAGGGGACCGAGATACACCATTTTTATTCGTCGGTTGTCTTCTTACGAGCGTCCAAGTCAACTGAAGAGTCATTTTCAAAACAAAATGGATGTCAATGGATTCTTTATATTTCGAGTTATTCCATCGACAACCATTCCATCTCGTTCTTCCTTAATTTCTGTCTTTCAATCGTACATAAACTGCTATTTCTCCGGGCACTTCTTGTTGTAAGCGGTCTTTTTGGTGGAGCACGTTCCACCTGGCGATCAGGCTTGCAGGACCAAGCGGGCCGTCCCATTTCAACTTTCAAGGTTCTTCTGCAACACATTGTCTCGTTGTCTCATTCTTCCACGTCCAAGTTCTAACATCACAACGGCTCCTCCTCGATCAAGTCATCACACCGTACACACCACACCCTTTTGGCCCGGATGGTTTTTCCAACCCGACCTAACACAACCTCTTCATTGGATTCACTTTGAGAAAATCATAGTGCAATGCAAATGGTCCCCATGCCCAAATGCACGAACACCGCATAAAAAGCAGTTGAGACAAAAGAGCAGCTTACAGGAATTCAAAGACAACTTTCTGCCCGCAGTGTAACCCCATGGTCCAGCCACCGACAATGTGGGCATAAACACCTCTTCACCTTCTCTCTCACTCTTTTCTCTTCGTCTTCTTCCACCTTGTCTCAATCACATTATGATTCGCCAGTTCGCTTGACGATGTCTGATTCTCGCGCCAAATGGAATCAACAACGCCATACCTCCGCCCATGATGAGCGCAAATACGCCTGCTGTTGTTCCGAAAGCCTCAACATAACCCACCATCTGGACCCAGACCAAAACGGAAGCTGCGAAGAAGAAGCAAACAACATTCTTGGATCCTACGTCATGCCACAGTTAGCAAGATTTTACTGGAAAAGGAGGGAGTCATGCTGCTTCTTACCATTCACAAGCATAAGGGCATCCGAATTCACTGGAAGGAGACAGTCTGAGACATAGGCCATGGTGATGGTCGGCACAGCTGTCAATGCTACCGAGATCATGCCATAAGCAAAGAACAGGCTGGCCCAGTTCATCGACTTTTCCACGCCATATCCGAACACCAAGCAGCCCGATCCGCTGATCAATAGCGGTACCACGCAGAGCCACAGTCGGTACTCCGGTTCGTACACGCCATTGTTGCGCTTGGTCTTCCAGTCGCAAAACCTGTCAACCGTCCAGCCACCCAAGACGCTGCCAAAGAGGTTGCCGATGAGGCCCGGGATATTGATCAAACCGTTGACCATGGGCGACCAGTTAAACGGTGGTGCCTGGAAAACGAAGGGATTGAGGATGTTCACGGCCACTGTCATCTCCAGCGAAACTGCATATGCAAGAAAGGCGAAGATGACACAGGGATAGAACCACATGGGGAAGGGTCGGAAGAACAACTTCCAGAGGGGGGTCTCGCGAGAGACTACAGGCCAGACACTGATCTCCTCTGCCCAGGACTTCTTTGGAAGATTTCGAACTGCGGAGCTTTCATCAGTGCGGTCCAAGGGTGAACGAGCTCCTCGAGCATTTGAGGAGCCCATCGCCTTTTCCGCATCCGAGCGACTGGCTGGCCCTGGAGTTGGCCCTCGGCTGGGCCACGAGTCAGAGTCAACTGGGTTGTGGCGGTAGCGACAATAAGTGGTCTCCGGCACCAGGAACGTAACCGCCAAAAAGTTGACCATGGCCAGAATGAAGGTCATCCACTTATGCCATCTCCAACTGTACTCTGACACGATGAAGCCACATATGAGCGGCCCGATGGTGTTTCCTGCCGCGATGAAGTTCATATAGATACCCATTACGGAGCCGCGTTCGTGCAAGAAGTACAGATCGTTTGCGATGCTCGCTCCAAGGGCTTCTGTCGATGACCCGGCAAACGCTGCGACGACGAGGGACCACAGCAAAGACTCGAACGTGTCGGCTAAGGCACCCCACATGGAGCAGGCACAGAGCAGCGCGCACGCGAAAACGAAGACTGGCCGCTTCCCATAATAGTTGGCAATGGGAACCCAGAAAAGGTTGAACGCGCCGAGAGTGAGGACAGGCCATAGCAACAAGGCGCCGACCTCTACTGGCGTCCTTTCGAATTCCAGGGAGAGAATATAGAAGGCTGGTGTCAGGCCCCCGATTCCGAAGTTGGTCAAAAAGGCGAATGAACAGACCGATAGGAAAGCGACTCTCTTCTTTCGCCTGCTCCAATTAAGGGGATCATTTGGGTCGTTCCCAGAGGGCCTCGGGACCATGAGAATTGGGGAGTTGTCGGCTAGGTGAAGCCGCACTGTCCCTTCGGCGGGATCGAGGTCGTGAAGGCTATGGAGTACCATAATGACTTGAGGCGCTTTGTTTTCTCGTCTCTTCGTGGTCAGAGTTGTTAAAAGGTTTTTACAACAAAGAATTTGACAAGTATACGGGCAAGAAACCACAAGTTGGTGCTCCAGCCTTTACAGAAACGAGGTGTGATGGAGAAGGTGACCAGTGACCGTGAGGGTCGAGCAGTCCCTGATCTTGTTTTACAAACCATCTCTTCAACTCTCTTGTCGCCCTCGGAACTGGTTTGCAGTCACATCCGATTGTGAGTTCTTTGTTGCCGAACGTCGACGCACTTATACCTTACAGGAGCGCATTAACATCTGCTGTCAACGTCCGCTGATCGATATGCTCAGAAGTCTGCAACATCGAGGGTTGAGCCTCCAGAAAGCCTCTTGACTTCCAGAAAGATCAGTCCAGTCGTCTCCAGCACCAGCTGATGACAGATACGCTGTGCATGATCTCTGTGAAAATGCATGCGAAAGACAGATGATTCAAGGGTCTTGATCTGCCCCTGTCTACCTGCATGGTGAATGGGTGTGTGCAGGGTAAGCCATTTCAGTATCAAAAGCTCAGGTGCGATGACATCAGCGACCGACTCTTACGATTGTTAAAATAAGTGCCAACTGTACCGCGTCTGCTAAAAACTGTTAGTCCATAAGGCGGCCTCGCCACCGATTAGCTAATAGCGACAAACAACACTGCCAATCAACCCTCTTCAACACCAAGACCAAGTCAACCTCAGTCTGACGAGCATCGTATCAGATTTCCACGGGATCCTGTAATTGCGTTTCTGGATATGAGATATCTCTCTTACATCCGCCTTTGTGAGCCCGGTCAGAGAGTACGACAGTCAGTGACAATGGAACCAGCTCAGATTCAACCCGCCCTCGCAAAGTTCATAGAGGATTCAGGAGAGGCCTTCAGTTACCCTGTAACACGAGTTCTTTGCGGATGTGAGTTCGTAACGGTGAGCTCTGCAATTTTTCGTGTTGTCCGAGTCTAGAATCCCGTTCTGGCACAGGTGAAGCTGCATCTCCTTCCAACGCACTCGCCGTCAACCTGGGAAACCCATCCGTGGCAGAAGCAAGAATTCATTCAATAAAGCAACGGTGATGGAGCAAACATGTTCGGCGAGAAGCAACAATTCGGAATCGTATGCAAACCGCCCCAAAAACAAAAACGAGACTGCCGAGACTGCCAACAACTGCCAATACCTGCCAATGTCTGCCAAGCGAACATCGAAATCGACCTTTGGGTCTTCCTTCCTCTATCGGTCGCTTCACCGGTTCGCTTGCGAATGTTTGCTCGATAGTAGCTCGTCGTCGGTATCGGAACTGACCATCTCCGCTCTTTCGTAGTCGTTGCCTGTTTGTTGGTTATGATCTCGCTTGTTGCCGCTGTGGGTTGGACTTAGTCTGTGAAAGAACACCAACCCCGAACCCTGCGGATTTTTGATGGGGTTGTGGATGCCCATATCACCGATTTCACTCCACGACGGCCACTGCAATCTTTGGTGAAATCCCAGGATTGCGACGCGGTGTCTTCGGCGTAGAGGCAGACGGCCAGTGGCATCTCATCATAGAGCGCCAGGCGGCCGCCGTGTCATTGCGGAAAGGAGTGAGACCCTCACTCGTTCGTTTTATCGATTTCTTTACGAGGTGAGTGGTCTTTTTCTCATTCCAGCCTTGTTGGGCTAACTATTGAAATCTTTCTGCCTACCGCATTCGTTGCCGTATTCCCGGCGCTACAGATATCGTTCCAATGCAGAACCGGGCGCCCAAATGTGCCTGGCGCTAGGGGTAGTGGATGTTACCCCCCCCCCCCCCCCCCCCCTGAAAAAAGAAGCTGGGAAGAACCTGGAGAGGCCCGCTTCCTTCATTCGCTTCTTGTTCGTGGTGGATATTTGCCCCAGAGTGCCACGCCTTTGTAATTGTCTCGGATATGACTTATCAAGTCGATATCATTTCGATGCCTGGGCGACTCAAAACATCATTTCGCTCATCACAGGGGACGCCGGCGGCCGCCAGAAGGTGACACCAGTTTCCCGTCCCAGCGCCAGTCAGCAATGCTAACCCAAAATGCATGGCTTGCATGGGGGTTCGTCTGAATCGATACGGATGAGACGCAAGGTACGGTGCAACCTCAACATTTCCAAGGGTCGTGCGCTCTGGTACCAACTCCTACTGGCTCTGGCAAAAGCCATCGTGATGATTTTGGCAACCAACGAACCGTTTTCATTGGGCCATGTTCATCAAATTTAACGATGCGAGTGAGAAAAAAGGCAATCCATAACAGAAATGGTGCTAGTTTCGGTCCCTAGCGTCCTTCTTTGGCTCTCGGAAGGCACCCAAGGTACCCTCCAAGAGACCCAAGACATGCGACACACATCGTGGGAGGTGTGATTGTCAGGGGTAAGAGGTGGAAAAGATGGAGCAGAGCTGAGAGTCAGAACCATTACAAAAAGAAGTCCAACGGCCACCTCCACGTTTTTCTGTCCTTCTTCTTTCTGATCGTCATCCGGCCGCAGTCACTCTTTTGCCATATCCGCAGTGTCGTCACTCCTTACATTCCTTTTATATACCAGCAATCACGATCTATTCTTTTTTTGGTTCTTTTTTTGGTCTTTTTTTCAAGATGAAGTTTTTTGCTCTCGCTGCTCTCGCGGCGCCGCTCGTCTCGGCCATCCAGTTCGTCGAGCCCGCCGCCAATGCCACCCTTCACAAGGGTGACACCTTTGACCTCAAGTGGTCCACCGTCGATACCGATCCCACCGACTTCAGCGTCTACCTGGTCAACTTTGTCAACTGGCCTCCCTACTATGCGCCTTTGGCCTATAACGTTGAGCCTTCCTCCGGCGAGCTCAGCGTGACCATCCCCTGCGACATTGATAGCTCCTATGGCTGGCAATTGTATGTTTAACTCCCTTCGCATGTTCATATCAGGACATGAGGATTCTTCCATCCAACCCAAACAAACCCCTGGGTCTCCTTCCTCCCCCCTTCTCTCCCAGGAAGTGGAACCCGTTTCAGGAACCAAAACAACCAAGAACTTATAGAACGTATTGGCTGACTCGCTGCCCCCTTTCTTCCCTTGGCGCTTTTGGTCTCTAGCAATGCCATTAACGGGACCAACGTCTACGTTATATATGCCCAGACGCCCAAGTTCTTCATCAGCGGTGGTCCCTGCTCGGTTGATTCGCCCTTCCCGACCGGGGCGCCTTCTGTCTGCGCGCCGGAGGCCACCGTCACCGTCACGGTGAGCACAACCCTTTCGCAGTCCTCCTTCTCCACTCTTCTCTACGCCAACTCTACCGGAATCGCCAGCCCTACCACTCTGAAGCCCGCCACCATTACCAAGTCCCCCCTCCCTGGAAAGTGTCCTGACACCATTGGCTGGGGCCCCTCAGGCTACGATAATCCCGTAACTCTGACCGCTATCCCTACCGGTCCCGGTGACATCCCCGCCGCGCCCACCGTCACCGCTCCCCCCGTCGCCAACGGCGCTGCGTTCTCGAGCAAGGCTGGCAGCACGAGCACCATCTACCACACCGTCTACAAGGATCTCTCTGAGGTCCAGGGTTGCGTGTGCTAAATGCTAAGCAACATGTGTGTGCTCATGCTACCATGCGAAGAAACAAAGAAGAATAAGAAGGAAATACGATTGTTGGAGGGAAGAAGGGAAATAAAGGAGATGATGGAGGAAGTTCTGCGGAAGGCTATGTGTTGATTGGTGGGTGGTTTGTTGTTGACTTTGGAAACCCGAAAGCGAGCAAAGCGATGATGTCTTCGATCAATCAAGGGAAATCAACAGTTACCCTGAAACAAGAGAAGATATTTACCTTTTTTTTTTCGAGAGCACTAGCGTTTGAATGAAAACTCGTCGTTGAAAAATCCACCGAGTGCCTGATTGGGGTTGCGAGTGCGTTTGTTTGAGTGTGCCATATGAAAGATTGTTAAGGAACCTAGGAGCTTGAGATGGAGAATATGGCAGTCAGGTTTTCAATATTCGAGAGCGACGATCCCTGGTATGTATTTAGGTGGACCGGAGGTAAACCGAGGAGGACCTGGAGAAGCCGAGGCTTAGGTTGCGGAAGCCGGGAGTCTGTCCATCGTCAATTCCAATCGGTCGGAAGATCGCCTACCATTAAAAGAGACCTCGGCCGGACAGCACATCATATCATCGGGTGACGTCTTTCCATCCGGCACGTCCGGGGATTGCGTTGTTGAAGATGAACGTAGCCCGGGGCTGGTGGTCGTCCTGCTGTGAAACCATCCCCGGACCCTCTCCGGTGCCCTCCGGATGGCGGGTGCCCCCCCCCCCCCCCCCTCTGGCAGACGATTGTGGGCCCCCCGGAAACGTACCAACGAGATAAGGATTAAGGCCTGGGCGCATCTGCAGGGTCAGCAATCAGCATGGTCATGGCCTGACAGCAATCTCCATTTTCTAACAAAACCCCTGAAATCATCAACAATCACATGTTGAACTTTTGCAACATTTTGACTCTGATCCCCACGACAAAACTTGATGAACGGAGCGGAGGATTGAATCGCTAAAAGACTCAGCCATGGAGTCAATCACAGACCGCCAAGTATCACGAACACCTGCAAAGAATCATGGCGTCATCAGTCGGTGTGAGTTGTTTGCATTGGAAAGTTGCTGTTACAGTGGTGACTGGTGAGAGTGGGAGAGGGTAAGGGATCGGACTTCCAGATCAGAATTGGACCGATCATTTTTCACTGGACCAATCATATCAATCACTGTCTCCGAAAAAAGAAATAAGCGGGTGTCCTGTCTGAGACGGAGAAATGCTTAAATCTCCGGTCCGTTCCACTTTCACCCTCTCACTCGCTCTTCCATGTTTCTAGAAAGCCGGTTGACATTCCCAGTCTGTCATCATTTTTCTCAATTGATTACTCCCTATCTGAAAAGCGATGTAACACATTCTCTTGGGTCTTTTTATTCCTATACAAAGTCACAACAATGGAGCAAGTTGGGCGAGAAGAAACTCCAACAGCAACGACGCACGGAGTTAGCGGTGGAGGAGGAGGACACGGACATGGAGGACGGAGCAGTTCACTAGCATCCGAAGGCGCGCCGTCCAACACGAATGCGAACGCGAACACGAACTCGAACTCGCACCCGTCAAACGCCAAATGGGGAAATGCCTGTGCCCAGTGTGCGGCCGCCAAAGCAAAGTGTTCACGCCAGTCTGATGCTCCTGGGATCAAATGCCAAAGATGTGAACGTCTGGGTAAAGATTGCACGAACCAGGTGCACCGCCCAAGAAAGAAGAGAGCTGTTCGGCCATCGTTAGTGATACCATCACTCACTCATTCATCCGTCGTGTCCTTCGCTATCCTGTATTACTAACACATACTCAACACTCAGAAAGACTGCGCAACTTGAACAGCGGCTCAATGGACTCGTCGACCTCCTCAAGGCATCCGGGGATTTGCGAGGCATCCCAATCGCAGACAGTGTTGCCTCTCATGAGGTCATGTCCGCCTATGACAGTGTCTCATGCATAGCCCGCGATCGTAAGCGAAATCTTCATCACCACCATCAACATCAACCTTCAGAGTCTTGCTGACTCATACCTTCTTCATACACCCAGACGACCTGCATATTGCCGTTGGTGCTCCTCAAGGATCTGGCTCCGGAAAGAGGCGAGCAAGTCTCACGCCCTTGGAAGATGATCGTCATGGCACCACCGAGGGTGGCTATTCCGACGATGAGAGTCATAGTGACAGCTCAGAACTGTTGGGTGAAGGACCCATTCATGTGCCCAAACACTACAACTCTTGCGCCCCGTCCGGGTGTATGTGCAGAGCACGCGGCGAGATTAGAGGTCCGTCAGAGTCAGACGAGACCATCCTCGCCATCTACCAGACCCATCTCAGCCCGCTCTTTCCGTTCGTCATCATCCCAGTCGGTACGACCGTGCAAGAACTCGAACAGTCCCGTCCGTTTCTCTTCTCGGCCATCCGGATGGTGACCACCCTCACGAGCATGCGGTCGATGCGAGCTCAGATGTACCGGCTGGTCCGACATGTCTCAGAACGCATGCTCTTGCGGTCAGAAAGGTCACTGGATCTACTGCAGGGCATCCTCGTCATGATCGGCTGGTATCAGTACCATTGTCTGATGCATGCCCAGTTGAACAACCTCATCCACCTGGCCGCGAGTCTCGTTTCCGACCTAGGACTGAACCGGGATCCGAAGGTGCAAGAAAGGATTAGTGTCATGGTACTGTACCCCGACGATCCAAAACCACGGACGAATGAGGAACGGAGGGCGCTGTTGGGCTTGTGGTATATGGCTTCAACGTGAGTATTTGTTTGGTGGAACCATCAGCTTACTGAACCTCTGGCCTACGTATGTACTGACGTGTAACATTAGTATATCCGTCGCCTTTGGAAAAATGGAGTCTATCAGGTACTCGCAATACGTTCAGCAGTGCCTAAATGAGCTGCAAGAGTCGAAGGAGTACGAAACAGATGGGATACTGGTTCACATGGTCCAGTTACAGCATCTGATGGAGAAGATCGCTCAAATCAATTCCAAAACTGAATCTCCCGACTCCGTCGGAGGGATTGCTAGGGCTCCAGTTGCGGCCTACATGTCGACGTTCCAGAGTGAACTTGACAAGATATGTGGTTCATTCAACAAGGGCCAAAAGAACAATAGTATGCTTGCGTTTAAGCCTTCAAAAGTTGTCAATCCTTGCTAACACACGCACTAGAATACCTCATGGTGTATGTACATTCAGCTAAGATGCGTCTCTGCGAGCCTCCGGTCATCGATGCATCTCTACTGGCCAAGTTTTACAAAGACCTTACTACGCTTGACGACAACACTCCGTCGGCTCTTGATCTCTTTTACCGAGTAAGCAGTGGGGTACGAGAATGGTTCGACCACTGGTTTACCGTACCCGTATCAGCATACTTTTACCTGCCGGTCTCCATCATTTGTCAGATCGTCTACGCCGTTACGATGCTTGCTCGTTGGTCCAAGATAGTCTCGCCAATCAAGCCATTACCTTCTTCACAACCCAGGAACACCATCTCAACGACATCCCAACCTCCGCAACCCACCGCCACAACATCTTACGCTTCGACACCTACCTCAACACCCGCCTTTGTACCTACACCCTCCCCACATTACAGCCGAGCATGCGGCTATGGCGCCGGCCCACCGCCGGACTTCTCACAACGGCCACCCGCCACCTCCTCAACCATTAGCACATCCGTCCCTGCCACCCCGGGTCCCGGCCCTGGGGCCCCATCCCCATCCAAAATTCCAAGGGACATCTCCGGCCCCGTCTGCTCCCGCGCCACCTCCACCGAACCTCCAATAACGAGCACCCCCGACCCAGTCACAAACACCACCACCGACCCGACAACCGCCCCTCATAACCCTTCTTTCTCTAGCAGCAATAACAACAAAAACAACCCCCTCTCCTCCGTCCGCTGGCGCGAAACCACCGACCCCCAACTCCCTCACATCGTCGCCATGCTGCAAGAACAGCTCAACTCCCAGCCCGGGCTGTGGATCGACATTACCGAGACCATGGCCCAGCTCGGTGCCCGTTTCCAGCAGGCCAGCGATGACATGAAGGAGGCCAGCGGCGGCGAGCCGGATAGCAACATGTGGGAGGTCAGTGCCAAGGGACTGGTCATGACCAAGGCTAAACTGGAGAGGTTTGCGGAGTTTGTCGCTCAGGGGGGGGAACTCGATGATGATGATCAGGGGAAGGGAGGGGGTGAGAGGAAAAGGGGTGGTGGAAGTGGAGGAGGGGAAGGGAGAGGGGAGGATGATGCTGCTTGTTCAAGACTGGGGAACCGAACTGGGACGGGGGCTGGGAAGGGGACGAGAGCTGGTGAAGAGCAGCCGGAAGGGGGTAGGGCGAGCGGTTTTCTGTATCAAGAAGGATCAACGGGTAGCAGTGGAGGAGGAAGTGCAGGTACAGGTGCAGATGCAGGTACAGGAGGACCAGGAGGGGTTGAAGCTGGGCGTGCCTCGGCCCCGTCTGGCTCCATGTCTGGAGAGAGATATGCTCAGGTACAGGCCGGTTTGGCAAGAGGAGGAGGAGGAGAGACTTCAACGAGCAGCGGCGGCGGCAATACCACCGCAACACAATCATCACAGTTGCAGCCGTGGCTGGCCAGCCAAAGCCAAGGACAAGGACAAAGCATGGGGGCGCCACCAATACCGCAGCAGCAGCAGCAACAACACCAACAACCTCCCTTTCAAGGGCATTCCTATGCAAATACAACAGCCATGAGTGGTGCGAATATTCATCACAGCCTACCAGGCAACGCGGGGGTCCATGGCGGGGATGCCGGGTATCCCTCCGCTACGATAGGAGCAGCAGGAGGAGGGGTAGGAGGAGGGGTAGGAGGAGGGGTAGGAGGAGGGGTAGGAGGAGGGGTAGGAGGAGGGGTAGGAGGAGGGCAATGCAACAATCTGCTTGCCACGGAGTCTATGTTTGTGGATCAACTTGCTCCTTGGCTTTGGTACTACGGCGTTGAAGACTGGCCCGCGGCAGGACCGGGCGGGGTATAAGCCGTGGTGGAGGTATAGATATAATTGGGTATATGGGTATCGGATACAGGATAGGTGGGCAATCGGGTATGGGCATGGATATGGGATAGATTTGCTTAAAGGTACATTGATACATGAGACAGATGGTTGTGTCCAGGAGCCAGGCAGATAAACACCTAGGGTGACATTGACGGCAGCTACACACACAGCCTCTTCTTTTTTTTTCCCCACAGGTGGTTGCCAAACGTTGAAATGTTGATGGAGTCTATAACAGCCAGCCATCCTCCCCTTTCTGGAAGGACTTGCGCGGGTAGAACACACTTGCATGCCTACACCCCAGTGCTTACTGCATTTAAGGGTATCACGGGCTGCCGTCAAGGGGGGTGCGGGCGTGGCGTAATCTAACCTGAACTTGGTTGTTGATCGACGGAAGCACAAGAGAGGAGTAAGGTGTGTTTCTACGACCACTACCGCTACAACATATGACCCTAACATAGGACAGTAGAAGTACTGTAGGTAACGGTAGGTAGGCTACGGTAAAAGTGGAAGTGACATGGAATGGAGTCTTGGTTTCAGCGAAAGGCAGAGTTCTACATCTGGATACTATATGGAACGGACACTTTCTCCCGAAAAATATTTTTCCGAACTGGCTCCGGCCAATCAAAGGACGTCTTTCGAGAGTAAACCAAGTAGAACTAAGTATCTTAAACAATTACTAAAGTACTAAAGCAATCATTACGACTTTTTTCCTATTTTAAAGAGGGCCCGGAGCCTGCTTTCCTGTCATAAGTTGGCCAACCTATAACATTTCCCTTACAATTAGCTGCAATAGTACCCTTCAAGGATCATATTATTATTATTTTATGTAAAATTAACAAAGAACTTATTTAAAAGCTTCAAACGCGACTCTAAGTTGCTGAAAATTTTATCGAAGCTATCAACGTTATTTATAGCGCCCTTAATATTATATATATTGTCTTATAACGCTAAACTATTTACAGTCTACTCAGTGGGTATGCGGTGCTGCTTCCGTTCTTAGTCGGTGGGAAAAACCGTACCGTAGCCGGATGAAAACCCTCCGCTTCTCTGTTGCAACGACGCCGTGTCGACGCCGTGCCTTCGATGTTTATCTTCGTCTCGGTATGACCTCGCCGTCATTCCCGAGGCCCGATCTTTGATTCCGCTGCGTGGTCCCCCGATCGTACTCCCGCTCTCCAGAATCAAAGATCAATCTGAATTCCCTAGTAGCTCTTCTGCTTCCTTTGCTTGTTCGATCTTCACTGCCAGCTTGTACTCCTGCAGTCGTCCCAGTTGCAAAGCCCAGCGAAGGATTCGTTCCGCCCCCGCCACTGTCTCGAGTTCGTCGTGGAGTTGTTCAATGTTTGTCGGCCACGTTGGGTCTCCCCATAACCATGTGTCTTCCGTTTCTCTACATTCCAAGACAATATGTTCGAATGTCTCCTTTGCTAACCCGCACCGGCAGTACGGTGTTGTCACCTCCGGCACTCTTCTCTCGAAGAGGCACGCCCGTACGCCTATTTTGCCCGTTCTGATTTGCACCAGGAGTGAACTCATAGCCTTCGAGAGGTAGTGCGGAGATGACTTCTCATCTGTACTGGGCCATGTGTGGTACTGCAGCGTGGTTCCATTGAACCGCGCACGCGCCTCTGCGCCCTTAATATTCCTGTTTAAAAACGGGCGGCCGCCCTATTCCGAAAATAATTTTACTTTCTCCTCAAATCTTTTCTTCTATATAAAAGTAGGTAGAATAATTCTTCCCAACTTTTCTTATTAAATAATAGTAGTAATTATTTAATATAATTAATATTAGGTTTAATATTAGTATACTACTATTTAATATTAAGAAAGTGTCATAGGTTGGCATTGGCCAATGCCAACCTGTGACAAAAAGAGTTTTAACTCGCTTATTACTTTAATTACTCTAAAAACAACTTTATTTAATTCATACCCTAATTTTACCCCAGTTAATTAAAAA